ACATTCGCACAGGCCCTGAATCGGGCCAGGTACCAAATCGGCCAGACCTAGGCAGGGCCTGGACGTCCGGTAGGGACCCAGGCAGGCCGTTTTTTGGCCAAGGACTGAAGCCTGCGATCTGGACCGCGGATCAGGCTTTGATCTACATGGCCCAGATTGCAGGCCGTGGACTACTGGGTCCGGCCCAGCACTACTTAAGCTGGGCCAGTGCCCAGTTCAGGGGGAGGTACGAGGAGAAACCCAGCGTTACGCTGGTTCAAGGCTTGGCTGCTGCGCTATTTTGGAGACTCCCTGCTGCGCTATTTTCAGCCTCCCTGCTGCACCATTCGGACGGCAGCTTCGCTGCTCATCCACAAGGAGGTCCAGCGCTGGAGGAGCCCAGCGCCAGAGAGAGAGAGAGAGAGAGAAAGAGAGAGAGAAGAAGACTCACCTGGGCCAGCGCCATAGCTGGCTCCGCGGTATCTGCAGTTCGGCCATCGCCAGGTAAGTGCAGAAAGCGCCTAGCTTTCTACTTCTTCTTCTTCTTCTTCTTCTTCTTCTTCTTCGTCTCCTCTCCTCTTCTCCTCCTACTCTTCCATAGTTCTTTCCTCTACTTCTTCTTCTTCTTCTTCGTCTTGATCAGAGTASAGATAGAGGTGACTGCAGACATTGTTTGGACACGGCATTCTGCCTTATTGGACTCTTCGTCTTGATCAGAGTAGAGATAGAGGTGACTGCAGACATTGTTTGGACACGGCATTCTGCCTTATTGGACACGACATTCAGACCAGACTTACACGCTACATTGGGATTGAACTGTGCACGACATTCGGAGATCAGACTTGGGTTGGACTTGGTTACCTCCTATGTCCCTCCCCCCTTCTCTCTCGCATGTCTATGGATCTCTCCCTATGTGTGTGAGCGGAAGGGCAATCTTCCTAATGTCCTGCCCTTCCGAAGTTTCTCCCTTTCCTGTTGTTGTCCACGTGTCCTCTTGGTTACTATTATTCCGCTGCGCTGTTCCCCAGCCCATGATGATGATGATGCAAATGTGTTGTTGTTGTTTTTTTTTCTCGTTGGTTTACTTGTTGCATTGTGCACATTGACATCTGGTGAATGTTGCATCTATGCTGCTGGTTGTTGCCACTTTCATCATTGCTAGATCCTAGGCTGTTAGTGCATTTCACTTTCTGATATGCTACACTATGCAGCAGTGGTTGCACTTTCTGTTCTCATGCGGTGGGTGGTAGATCCAACCGATCGAACAACTGACTTAGCCATTCCTTGGTGCAAAACTAGCTTGACGGTAAAGAGTCTGGCTTTTCACATAGACGTACTCTTTGCAAGCCCAGGGTAGGGAATTATGCCTTGTACTGGTGACATGAGGGGCTGGGCAAAGCAGATTCCAACTTAGCTGGGTCGCAATTACGGAACTTAATTTTGTAAGTTGTATGCCAGTTGTATGCCGAGTGTCCATTTTTTTTGGCTCCATCGGGTTTCGAAACAAAGGATTCTGTTGGTTTCACAGTGACGTAGAAAGAATGCTGCTTATGCCAACTGATGAAGACCATACAGCCAAATGTAATGGTATGCCGTGATGCAGACTTTAGCGGGTAAGTAGGTAGGCGATTGCAGAACCAGTTCCTCGGCATGGTATCAACGGAAGTGCTTGGGCTATGTGTCCTTTCATGAAGCATGCTAATTGTGTGCTTGTGGATATGATGTAGATGTGCTGCTAGCAAGTGGGCCCACCCTTCTGGCTATTCTTTGTCAGTGTTTTATGTTGGTGTTGCTGTTGTACAAAACACAATCCCAATCTGTGGACTTTGGATGTTTGTGCAAACTGAGCTACGGGTTCTCTGGTGAGAGCCGGGCAACCTATCTGTCTATTGCCTGTCAGGATCTGTGCCTTTTCCCCCCTTTTTTTTAATGATAACTTCAGAAAAGACTCAGAAGTAGTGGTGTTTCACTTGAGCTGAAAAGTTGAAAACCTCCTACTTATTTTACATCTTTCATGCCTTTGCACTGAGTCAAACTAGAGTCAAGGTCAATGGGGCAGTGGACTGCATTTGGTATTAACGAGATTCGGCTGTTATTTGGGGTCTTGTTGGAACAGGTGAGTGACAAAATGGATCCACAAGAACTGGTGCAGCTTTGCAAGATTCTGAATCCGACAAATAAGCCAGGCCGGCTGACTGTGATTATTCGCATGGGTGCAGAGAAGTTGCGCGACAAGTTTCCTGCACTAATCCGGACTCTGAGGAAAGAGGGGATAATTGTTGCATGGGTTTGTGACCCCATGCACGGTAACACTATCAAGGCTCCCAATGGACTGAAGACACGACCATTTGATGCGATACGTGCAGAGTTACGCGCATTTTTTGATGTCCATGAACAGGAGGGGAGTCATCCTGGAGGTGTTCATCTGGAGATGACAGGTCAGAATGTGACTGAGTGCATCGGCGGATCAAAGGAGGTCACAGTGAACGACCTAAACTCCCGCTACCACACACATTGTGATCCTCGGTTGAATGCTTCGCAGTCATTGGAGCTTGCCTTCTTGATTGCTGAGCGCCTCAGAAAGAGAAGAGGTGGAAACAGAGGAAAGGTTTCTCATTGACAAGGGACCCAAAATGGGTGCTGGCCGGTGCTGCCGGTGGTCACAAAGACTCACAACCATCGGACCCTTTTCTTCATGTTCCTGCATGTCCTTGTCTGGAAACCCTGACAGGAGCCAGTAGACTGGGGAAGGGGCCAGAGGCCTGCGACAGGCAGAGACAGAAGGAACCCCCCGGCGAACCGGATAATGGGGATGCCAGCTCACTTTTGAACGGTGCCAGTGAGGTGTTGGCAACTGGTGATTATGGCAAACTCTGGGAGAGCCATTCATTAACTGGCCGGTTAAGTATGTCTCTGAATTGTTGATTATCTTCTCTCCCACCTTGACACATTATGGGCCCACATTTGCTGTCCTGCTTTTTTGTTTGCTTCCTGGTCCTTACGCACATTTTTGCTGCGGCCTCGTCATTTGTCGAAACCACTCTGCTCCAACCGATGTGAGACCATGAGATTGTGTTCTTGTACAAGTTGGAGCAATAAGCTAGTGTCTACAGTATCTACCAGTGTTCCCCTCCTTTCCCCAACCTCCCTCCTCCCCATATTTTTCTGAAGTTGCAATGTGTGCAGAACGTGGAGGAAGATGCTGTTGGGATGCTGTGTGTATCCACATCACTGTGCATATATGAAGGTGAGTCTTGCAGCCTGAAGGACCTGTGTGCCTGCATCTGCTGCTCCCATGTTCTGAGGAGGGGGGCAGTGGCAGAGGACAGCAAATCAGGTTCGGTTTTGGCCCTGGTAGAAGTAGAAACTTCGAGTATGACCCAGCCACAACTATGTTGTTCCTCGATGACATTGTTTGATGGTTCACCCATCGGGTCTTGTGCGACATTATGCTCTGACAAAGTTGTTTGAAGCACCTTGAATAAAGAAAGTGTTCCTCGACGACATTGTTTGACGGTCTGCCCATGGGGTCTTGTGTGAAATTCCGCTCTGATGACGTTGTTTGAAGCATCATTGATAAAGAAAGATTATGATTGAGTGGCCTAATACCGAGTCTGTGAGATAGGGATGACGAACAACAGAATGTGAGATGTTGCAACAGGAAAAACGCACCGTATTTATCGCATGTGCATATTAAACAAACATATTGGTCATCGCAACATCAATGAGTTCATCCAACATGAGAGATCCTAAAGGGGGATCGACATCCAAACACAGAGGGGTACAAGAGAACCACTGTCAAGATGGCAGCATGTTGCCAATTGAGCTTTTGGGAGCGTGGAGGTGGGATTTACTCCCCGTTGTAACGTGATGAGGCGGGGTTATCTCTAAATGGACAGTGGGAATGAGCAAAATAGTAAAATACACTCAAGGTTTTAAGATCGGGCGACGATCTGGGCCATCCGTCCCCTGCCACTGGGCCAAGGGCGCATATTAGAAATCTGTGTGCCAAACAACTTTCGGCAGTGAGGCCCTGAAGACAGCTTCCACCAGCCATAGGAAAACAGGTGCTAGGCGACCCAGTCCCCTATTTGGTACAGCCAACCGAGGCATGAACTTGGCCACTAGCAAAGCACAGCCTGCGCTGCCGTTCGACCCTTTGGCAGCACAGCGGCAACACACGCAAGAGACCACACACACTCACACCGACACACACACGGACACACACACTCACAGGGACGCACACACTCACAGGGACGCACACACTCACAGGGACGCACACACTCACAGGGACACTCGCATGGATGCATGCATGCACGCACTCAGATGGACACATGCACTCATGCACACATGCAAATGCAAGCACATGCATGGACGCACGCACGCTCATGCACACACACAGAGGCATGTTGTCGCCTGCCCATAAAGAGGGAGTAATGACTGCGGAAACCCAAGAAGCTTCCTCAATGCCGCTCTGCGATGGCAAGCCTGAGATTCAGCTAGCATCTGATTCACATGCTTTTTGTTGTGAGGATTATAAAGGCATAGCCCATGCAAGTTTTTGTTTTCATACATTTGACAGTCAGCATTGCGCTCATGTATGGAACCCTGACATGTCATGCCCAGTTTGTAGACGGGCTGGAACGACAATGCCTATACAATTGTGGTTGTTGTGCCTCTGTTCCTAGCATTAGGCGGCACGTAGTCTGTGACATCTGTCTACTCTGTGGCATTCGATGCAGCAACTGCAACTGCGATAATTGGATGTGGTGCTTCTGCAGCCCACACCCGAAGCGTTCCTGTCCCACTGTAGGGGTGTGGCCATGTACCATAGGCAACGGCTTGCTCCTCAACTCAAAATCTTCTGCAACCCAAACGCCAACTAGCCTCTTGTGCCATCGTAGAGTAGTCTGCTCCAGTGGTGATTATTCAGAACCCTGTGAAGTTTGTTGTTGGTCAGTTCTGTTCTTTGCTCCTCCATTTCTCTCCTCTATAGAACTCCATTTTCTACTGCTTTCCTTCCTCCCTCTCCTTGTGTACTAGTAGTAAATGCATAGGAATGAGCACCATTAACAGAATAGACAAAATATAGGCTGAAGTTTTGAAGAAAAACGAACAAGAGCATGCCTCCCCCTTATTCTGCCTCCTTTGATAATGTGCAAGTGTGCACACGGGGATGTGGGCGGCAGACGCTAAACCACTGTCGAGGTGACCAGCCTTGTATGTGAGAGGCACAGTAAGAGGGGAGCGGCAAGAACAAATAAAAGGGGGATCCCAAAGAAAGCCAAGGTAAAGATAGTTAAGAAAGGGATGTAATGGATCTATTGTGCCCCATTTTGCTTGCTACAGAGGTAAAATTGTTTAATTGTTGGACTGGCTCTTCTCAAGTGTGCTTCATCGTCTGCAATAGACGTAAAGCTGCTTTGATTTTGGATCTACTCAACTGGGTGGAACATGGGCTGTTGTCGTGAAAATCTAAAACAAGCGCATGATTAATTTTTGTGTATGTGAGAGACAGAGATGGCGGAAGAGAGGAGGGTTAGCGGGGATGGGTTGCATACAACGCGGGGCGATTTTTTTTTTTTTTTTTTTTT